TATTTTGCAAATTTTTATATGCAATATAGCCTAGTGGTTAGGCACATGGTCACAAGAGTCAGGTTGCCTGGGATTGAATTCTGGCTCCACCGCTTATCAGGTATGGACGTAACCTCTCTGTAGTTCAGTAACTCCATTTATGAGAACGAGAATAATGCCTATTCTCCAGGGTCGCTGAAATGGTCAGATGAATTAGTACACAGAAAGTGCTTAGAATGATGCCTGGCACATTGAATGCGCTTTACAAATGAGCTGTTTTTATATCATCACAGTCATGGTTTCCACTAAGTGATTTACAGCCTACAGGACAGTTCCCATATAATCCCATTCGAATGCTTGTTCTTTCTGCCCTCTCTCTCCTTCAGCAGATGAGATCACCAGAGAGACTATAGACAAAACAAAAGATGGCCCCATGAGGCATATTCAGCATTCAGGTGATCAGCGGGACCCTCTCCAGCACACAGCTGACACTGTTCAGCTGCCTCCACTGGTAGAAGCTCTCCCGAAGTCAGAGGCAGCTGTTGGGGCAGAAGTGTCCATGACCTCCACAGGACAGAGCAAAAATTCCTCCCCAAAGAACACAAACATTTTACCCCCCATTGTATGACCTTTGCTGAGGGTGTGTCCTGCTCCTTTCCACCAGTGATTTGTATTGACAGCACTTACATTGGACAATACTTCAGACTGTTGCTTTTTAATACAGAAAAGTTTATTTAAAAAAACTCTGTTAATATGGCCAATTGGCACGATTTCTCTTATGAGGGATGGGGGAGGATGTCCTCACACTTAAATTCGTTCCATATGTGTTTGTGTGTTGGGGGTGGGAATAGTTTTTAACTATCAGTGTTATAGCATCATTAATGGAACTCTAAACAGACATTTTTTTGTTGTTCTTGCCCGTGACTGCCAACCTATGTCAGGATTTTTGTTTGAAAACCATAGAAGCTGAATTCAAAAGTAGCTTAAACAACAGAAGACATTTATTGACTTATATAATTGGGGAATCAGAAAGGGTAGATGTAGTTTCAGGCACAGCGGGATCCAGGAATTCAAATGAGGTTGTAGGGCTCAGAATCCCTCTTCGTCTATTAGCCTTGCTTCTCTCTATGGTTACTGCATCCTGATGGGAGGCTCTGCCCGGAAACTAACCACCAACATCCAGTCAAAAGATGCAGGCTTCCTTGCTGACAGGAAGTCTCCAAAATGATAGTGACACAGAAACTGTGCCTGGGAGACTGGGATGCAGTCTGGGCCCCAAGCCCACAGTGAAGGTGAAGGCACCGTGACTGATGCTTCCCTAGACTGCAGCAAGGGATGGAAGGTTTCCCAAAGGAGGGGAAGCTGAGTAAACACGCAGGACATACTGATTTATCCACCAGACCAGAAATCTAAGTAGGCCTTCTCACTGCCCTTTCTAATCCTTATCTACACAAATACATAACCTTTATGTGATTATAATAGGGCAGATAGAATTTTACCTGAAACAAGATGATAACATCAGAAACAATATGGAATATATAAAAATAGTTTTAGTTTTCTTTTTTACTTGCCATTTGGAATAACCTCCCCTCAATACACTTTTCATTTTACTTGTTGCATAATATTTTATGAACATTGACGCCAAGTCATTAAAGCAATGGATTTGGATGCAATATCCCAGGGAAGATCTTGAGTTAGAATAGCAGGGGGTTGAAAGAAAGTCCTAGGAAAGATAAATGTAAAAGGAGTTGACAGAGTTGAGGAGGTCCCCCAAGAGATCCAGAGCTATAGGAAGAAAATTAGAAGCCAATGGAAAAGTTTCTAAAAGGAAAGAAGGGTCAAGAATATAAAATTCCACAGAAAATTCAGGATAAGAACAGAAAGTATTTCTTAAGTAGAGTGATATGGATATTAAGTCAGAGCAGTATTAGAACAGGTATCTTATCCCAGGTTCTATAGCCAGCCAGAAAGCAACAAAACCAGCAACAGAATTCAGATCCTTGGGAATATTCTTGACACGAACTTCAACCATGGATGAAGTCGGAGGCGGACATTGTCTGCAGCTCTACAGAGAAAGGGAAACCAAGTCTTCAACATTGTAATTGGGATGATTTTGATTGAATATTAGAAAGTATCTTCTGATTTTCATGGTTATAAAAGGCTAAAATGAATTATTGATAAACTGTGGTTTAGTTTAAGAGAATGAGGAAGCTGCAAATTGTGACACAGAGACGGGGACAGGCTGAGTGACCTCCAGCAGGGCCCCTCAGTCCAGCTCTGCTGTACCTCTGGCATTCATCTAGTTATTTTTTCACTCCTGGGATTTCTCTACCTGATTGTTCCATTGGATCCCAAGAAAGCAAAACACGTGGAGTCATTTAGTTGTAATTTTTTAATTTTACGTCCTTGTGCTCATGGACAGGAAAATCTGCAAAATCCAGTGACTAGCCTAAGATGACATGTCTTTGATGAGAGTGATATGAAGATAATGTTAGGGCTCTGTAAGGATATAGAGGGGGAGCTGCGGAAGTGAGAAAGAAGGGTGGGGATAAGGGCCGGGCCCGCCGTCAGAAGAGGGGAAACCAATGGGGTTGCTGATCACAGGTTCATCATCAGCCAGTCCAGCAGCTGCAGTGCTGTGACATTCCCCACTGCCTCATTCAGCTGGCGCTGCTTCTCATAGCGCATCACTGACTGCAGAACCTCACCCACGCTGCATCCTTTGTCCACAGCAGCAGCCGAGAGCTGACGTAGCTGTGAAAGGAAAGAATACTTTCACAGTGGAGAGGCACAGCATCCCATGGCAGGCCAGATGGAGCCTGCCAAGTCTAGAGCAGAGAGGCCAGGCAGACCTTGGGAAACTGCAACACAGACTTTAAAGTCTGCTGGCCTATTTACCAGAAGAAGGTTGGTGACAACATTTTTAGTTTAAAGAAGGGGTGTTACACCCACCTGCCCATGATCTGGCTCTCTAAGAATTCTAAGGTTCTAAGTTCACCCTAATATCATAAAAGTCTCCGTCATTGTCCTAAGACCAAAAGGGCAAGACAGAAAATATCCAGTGCACAAATGTGGATGCTGCTTTCCATGCCCCATAGACCACAGAACCCTAAAATGTTAGAGCAAAAGGGCACCTCAGAGATCAATTCAGTTCTCATGAAATGTTTCCCAGAGAAGTAAAGAGACTTGTCAGAGATACACTGCCAGTAATTAGCAGAACCAAAGTTCACTGCAGGTATCAGATCCTATCTGTAGCTCTTTTTCCAAGTATAACATGAGAAAAGTTACTTAAGGAACCATTCTAATATAAATGCAATATGCTGTCATTTATCTGGAATCCTAAGGGCAACAATCTGAAATAACCAGATTTTTTTTTTTTTTTTTTTGAGACGGAGTTTCACTCATGTTACCCAGGCTGGAGTGCAATGGCGCGATCTCGGCTCACCGCAGCCTCCGCCTCCT